TTTGGAATTCCGACATTGGCAACTCGTCTATCATCATAATATTATACTAATAAACTAGTTGTTCTTTATTTCGTTCAATTAAAATTTAATAAATAATCACTAAATATTCCGTGCGATTATAATTAATATAATTAATACAACGTGATTGCTTTGTATGAAATGATAAATTAATTTTATTATTTGACGTCTATTGAGACACCTATGGATTTACTTCTATCCCTAGGCTTTTTTGAGTTTTTTGTCTGCCGCTAATGAAAAAGACGCACTTCAACTATCTCTATACAGGCATATAAGGTTGTACATCATGGCCGCTTGAAAAAAAAGTATTTTTTATATTACGCCCTTAAAAAAAAATTGTATATGTTATTTGGAGTAGCTCTTTTTGTGCTTCGTACAGTTGCCTGCCTCAGCTACGCTTCGGCCGTCAATCTCTGTACTCACCACAAAAAGAGTCGCTTCTACTCCTTATGACATAATCTACTATTTTTTCTACGTATAAAGAAAATTAGAAAATTGATCAGTATACAGGGAAAAACAAAAAGTTTATTTTTTTCCAATGGATCACCCTATATTTGAATTTATTTTTCGATTCCTTGTAAAATTCTGAGCAAAATTTATATACAAACCATATACCTAAATTCAACCGTTTCTGAAATATTCGCATTCGAAATGTCATCATTAAATGTTTTTTTAAACTGTTAAAAATCAAGAAGCCTCAGTATGCCAAAATTTTTATTGAAAATAAATTACTATAGTGACATTATGTCAATAAGTGTTGTTAAATAAGTAAAAATGGCGTACTCAGACAGAGAAAGACAAACTATTTCAACTTATTATCTTAAAAATATTTTAAATATTTCAGAAACGGTTGAATTTAGGTATATGGTATGATATATGAAATATGCTTAGAATTTTACAAGGAATCGAAAAATAAATTCATATATAGGGTGATCCATTGAAAAAAAATAAACTTTTTGTTTTTCCCTGTATACTGATCAATTTTCTTTATACGTAGAAAAAAGTATTTTTTAGTTCCTACATAACCACACTTTTAAATTTTTTGGGACACTTAAAATAAAAAAGTTAAAGGGGGGCGACATTATAGGGGATCACCCTGTACCTACTGCCATACAATGCTGAAACAGTATCTCCAATATTAAGTTATAAAGGAAAAACTTTTTTTTTAATTGTTTATAGCAATAAAAATTATCCTTCTTCCTTTATTACTTTAATTATACTTCATTTCAGCGTTTTACTATAAGTACTAATAATAACAATTTTTTTAGTTCATGATCACCTTCTCGATGCCGGCCGAATAGCAAGAAATGGCGTGGTTGCTCGATTTTGAACATTTAAAAACTGTTCTTTTTAAGATTCACATTTATCTCTTAAAAATGAGAAGGCATGGTTGCTCGATTTTGAAGATTTGACTTTTAAAAACGGTTCTTTTAAGAACCACACTTTTTTCTTTAAAAAGAAGAATTACTCTTAGTATAAAAGGTTTACGTTAATACTATTTAGCATAATTTGCGTGTATTTTATTAAATTCAACAACAAATTAATCTAAATATAATAGTATGAAATAAAATTAATGACAAGGAGTAAAAGTAATAGGTACCAAAAATGTTTTAAAACTCCCTTAGTTGGATGTTTCCTAATGTAAACAAAGGTAGCTCAGTTGAGCAGGCTTAAATAAAATTATGGCATGTAAATAAATCTAACACAAGGGCCATCTGGGCTGTGCAAATAGTTTGGGACTAGTATACTTTGTAACTTAACTTAAGAACCTGAGTTCTAGTTATGCGAATTTACTTATGAAATCTATTTATCTAGATTTTTAATGGCTTTTATAACAAGGTTCCGAAGATTTATATTAATATTGATTTCATTATACATACAATAATAACATTTGTTTAATAATGTAATCCATTATACTATTAATTTTCATACAATTAAATATTAATGATTTTCTAATAGACAAAATTTTTTTTAATTTATTATAAATTAATGGAGTTCAAGGAGAAAATAGGAGTTTTATTAAGAAAACCGCAAATTTATGCTATTCAACAAAGAAATAAATACGGCCACATCAGCACACAACAAAGATGTACTACGCGCTCAAGTGGCTATGGTGGGGCGCTATCAGGTATGCATTGATGCCAGTGGTCGGAATTTTAAGCAACTTTTAATTGAAACATTTCTTTTAATAAATCCTGCCAAACGTTCCTTGTGCTAATTTTCTAATAGTGCATAATAGTCCGCACAGTGATTGCCACCGTTTTATCGCATGACAGAAAATTAGCACTGAACCAAAGCCCATGCGTCTATGGGTTTATATTTTAAACTTTATAAGCAAAAAACGTTGGTTTTGAAGAGACCTACCATGGTAAACTGAGGGTTGCAGCCCTCAACTTTTGTAACAATAGTTTCGGAACACCCTGCATACTTAAGAACTTATATATACAAATACAAAATAGAAATATACAAATGTACTCTTTTAGTTCCACCCTTACTTCCTAAGAAGTCCCATAAGCCAACTGAATGGCTTGAGCGGGTTAGGAGTAGGAACGGACCGCAGGCTTAAAGTCCGAAGGACTGATATGCAATAGGACAAACACAAATAAACAGCCATACCCCTGGTGGGAATCAAACTAACGACTTCTCGGCTTGTAGTCAGCAGCACTAACAACTAATACTAACTTGCTTAAACCTAAACCTAACTAATCTAATACTAAGTTACAATTAGTGAAAAACGTTGGTTTTAAAAAGACCTACCAGAACACCCTGCATACCTACGAACTTACGAAACTATATATACTTACACTAATACTAACTTGCCTAAACCTAAACCTAACTAATATGGATTTGATGACCTATTTAACTACAAATATACTACAACTACAATTAGTGAAAAACGAACTTACTAAATTATATACTTACACTAATGCTAACTTGCCTAAACCTAAACCTAACTAATCTAATACTATGTTACTAGTTAAATAGATCATCAAATCCATCCATAGTACCAAACTTTAAAAAATAATCAAGTTTAAGTCTTTTTTCTTGCACTTTCAGTTCCTCCAATTTTATTTTTTTGTAGGTTTTTTCAAAATTATTTATAGCAGAGGCCACTGTAGTTGCCGCATCTGCGTCGATTCGTTTTGCTTCAGCAAAACGGTCTACAATGGCCTCCAAACGGCTTCTTTTTGGTGCTAAAAAATTGTATAGTTCATTGCTTTAGTATATGTATTTTTCAAAATAAAAAATAAATCCTTAATTTTTTTTTATTTTATTACCTACCTCTTCGAAATTCTGCCCTGGGAACTGCTTCTAAAAAAATATTTGGAACTTAAAAAGAGTATACTTTTGCTAATTAATATTTAGTCCATATAAAATATAATTATATTATTATTAATTAATAAGTGTTTTTTCTACAATTGCTTTCAAATGGATTCAGTAACATCCAGAGATAGCGGATTTTGAACTGAATTTTTTTATTTTATTACCTACCTCTTCGGACTTCTGCCCTGGGAACTGCTTCTAAAAAAATAATTGGAATTAAAAAAAATTATATATGATAGATTAAATATTAATTAGCATATGCTTATATATATATATATATATATATATATATATATATGCATATATATATGTGCATACCTATATATTATATAAGTAAGCATATGCTAATTAATATTTAGTCTATCCGAAAATAGCAAATTTACCTTCTGCTTGGGTTTCTGACGGGGCAGGTTCTGGGGTGGCTGTTTTGTTTGTTGGGGGAAACAATTTTCTTATTAGAGCATCAGTATTTACTGCAAAAAACAACCTATTAAATTTATCTCAGTTTCACTAATATACAGTGGCGTGCCCATGGGCCATGAAGGAAGTTCAACTCCCCCCAAAATTTCTGGGAACGCCGCTACATAGCTATATAGCCGACCCTGTATGTACTAAAAATCTCCACTAATAGTTACAAAAAAGTTTTTGGCTGAACTAGAATTAAATTTTATATATGTATATTAGGGTGTCCCTTATTTTTATTTTTTACGCATACCCTCTAATTATATTTATTACATGTTTATATACTCCCAGTAAAAATTTCAGCTCATTCTATAAACGGGAACCCGTGCCGACTTGCATCTAAACCGTTAGCCAACGTTAGGCGCGCGCGGTATTTTGTAACACGAAACACTTTAAAAAGAAGATATACTTCATGATTGTATTTTTCTAATGATTTTATTAAATATGATTACTAATTATTATTATTGCTTTTGTTTCTATCATTTGTTTCACTAATTTCGTTGATTTTATCCCTTAAATATATTAATATACTAATTAGTATTGCTAAAATATACTTTTATATGAAATTTCAGCTTTTTATAAGCATTTCTTTTCTTGATGTCCTCCCAAAAATATTTCAGACAGTTCAATAAGTTTTCGGTAGTCATCTCTCACAATAGACTCTTAGTTATTTAGAGTAAAACCCATTAAGTTTATCAATTTCAGAGTTTACGGCGTATTCACCAGACCCTTCCGGGTAACTAGTCACTCCCTGTGAAAATATACATTTTTATCAAAGTATACACATAAATAAAATTATATTTTAACATTTGTCAATAATTTATAATATAAGGGTCACATAATAGCAAACACAAAATGACTTACGATCGAAGACCTCGCGACCAACCGTGTTACAAAATACCGCGCGCCTAACGTTGGCTAACGAAGGGTTCAGATGCAAGTCGGCACGGGTTTCCGTTTATAGAATGAGCTGAAATTTTTACTGGGAGTATATAAACACGTAATAAATATAATTAGAGGGTATGCGTAAAAAAAATAAAAATAAGGGACACCCTAATGTATACATACCATTTTCAGGTCTTATCTGCTGTTGCTGCTCTGCTGCGAGTTTGACTCGCAGCAAAGCAGCAGTTACATTAAATATTAAAAACGTTTCTGCAACTCCTATAAATTTGTTTAATGTGTACCATAGCAATCTAACCTGGAGGTGATGCTGCGGCTGGGGCGGAGGCTGAGACACCAGCCTCTTCAATCTCCGAATCCCCAAAATATATTTTGGAAGTGAGGGCCAGCAATTGCTCCTCAATGGGATTCAATCCTGTTGAGTTTGCTGGCCCTCCTCCAGTTTGGATTCTACTTTGCTCCACCACCCTAGCCTTGCGCCGCACATTTGCCTTCCATTCAGTGAAAACCTTAAACATTAACATGTATACAATTTATAAATTCGTAATTACTTTTACATTTACTAAAATTTTAAAATTATGTATTTAATTATAACTTACTTGCTTCCATTGGCTCGACGTCTTTGCCGGGCCAATATTTTTTTTATTTATTCTTGTGGCAAAGTCATTCCACAAGGAATTTACCGTAACGACTTCAGTGGGCTTCAATTTAAAATTAAGAATGTGTTTGTTTTCCTGGACAAAATGTAATAGTTCTTCAAATTGTTTTTTAGTTGTCCTTCCTGAACGATTCATTTTGACAAACTAAATTTACCTATTTGACAATTAAGTTCACAGTCTACTCTATATATTTTAAAACAAAATAAAAATCGCATATTCTGTCAAGTCTTTTATTGTTAAATTTGTTTGATTACATTTTAATTAATATTTAGGGGTTGCCAGAAATCAAAATGCTGATTCGAAGAATTACCTAACTTGAAAATATAGAATTTTAAAAAATATATAAAAATCATTTATTACAATCATTGCATAAGGTGTAATTTAGATATAAATATATTTTGTTAAATTAAAATGAAAGAATAAAATAGTACCTATCAATTTAACACTATATTAAATCCAACTAAACATATACAATATAACCTAGACATGCAATATTTATATATATATATATATATTCTGAAATAAAGAAGATTTTGCTTTTATACTTTACAAACATGGAAGATTTTTGTTAAATATATATAAGGTCTGACAACCCTAAACTAAAGGAGTTCGTAAATGATTATTATAAGAAAAACATGTAATGTGTAAACAAAGTTATTGTTCAAAACCACTTAGGTTATAAATAATAAAGCAATAAGGCAAAAAAATCGTAAATAAAATTTGTTATACATTGTTCATAAAGGTTTTTCTATGACATTGTTATATCGTTGAGTGAAGATTAATCAATGGTTATATGCTGTATTTGTAATCAGACATTTTGATTATACATTGTTCATAAAGGGTTTTTCTATGACATTGTTATATTGTTGAGTGAAGATTAATCAATGGTTATATTTGTATCAGGCATTTTGAATTTCTCTGTTAAAAGTTTTGATGGTTTCTTGAAGAAACTTTCTTCAAACACAACACAATTATTCAGTTTCACACTATAAAGACACTTATAAATATTGCACTTAAAACCCCGCATAAAATTAAGCACCAGAAATTTATAACCATAATAAACTTGTGTTTTGATGGCCCAACTTGATTCAAGTAACTTGAAGGCTAAAATTAAATAAAAATGTGTAAAAAAACTATGTACTTAATTGTAAAATGCGTCGTATTACCTGATTTTTGTTACATAAATACAACTTGTGCTTAATTATGATCAGAAATATTTTTATTTATGATTTTTAATTATAGGTTATGTCAACGTTGCCAACATAAAAATAATACCATTTATATTATATAGACAAAATAAATAAAAATAAACGATAATATAAAGTAAAGAAAATAAAAAATATTAAATAATAATATTATTTCTTTATGAAAGGCCTTATATCTCATTCTGTGGAGGTATAACCATAGAAAAAGGATATAACAGAGATACGACCCTGACTCAAAACTTTCTTCCAAACCGTGTTACCACCACTAACATATTAAGCAAAAATTACTGTTTTAACAGACATGTTAAGTTACATCAATGGGCCCTTTATCTGTTAACTGTCATCTGTCCTGCCATTTGTCACCTGTTATCTGACACCTGTTATCTGACCTTTCATCTGCTACCTTTTATCTGTTACTTGTCATCTGTCACCTCCCATCTGTCACCTGTCTAGGAAAGGTGACAGATGACAGGTGGCAGATGACAGGTGTCAGATAACAGGCTCATAAGACAGATTCCTTATTTTAGTAACTTTAGCGTCACCGATATGTAAAAATCAGAGCACAACGCGTTGCAACGTCTATATAACGCTGAACGTTGTCTCGATGATTTTATAGTGGTTTACAACTCGCTATTCAGTAATTATTTTTATAACTAACCTATTGGTCGGATTTGCAATAACTGGTCTAATTAAATCCACTATATAGGATATCCTACGTACAAAAGGTTTGGAAAACCGAAATCTGGCAAAAAATTCATCATTAACCCACCTTTCAAAATGATTCGGTCTTACCCATGCCTGTGCACACGAAGTTGAATATTATTTAGGAATTCGCCATATTCCTCATCATCCTCACTAACTACCTCAAACATATCCATTGGTTTATTATAACAGCAGATTACAAAACAAGAAATAAACAACATAATACACAATAAAGCAGAGAAAAATTAAGTTATGTCAAGTTGAACTTCGTTTAAACCATAGATAACAAAGCCTTTAAACGGCGAACAGTCACGTGACAGTTCATCTTTTGATTTAGTTTAAACCAAATTCAAGCTTGAACTTTGATTGAAAAACGGTATATTTTGTTTGAACCAAGTTCAAATGCTGAACCAAGTTTAAACTATGATTGAAAAACCGGTCCTTAATGTTCGTTTTTGAAAATTTTAAATGCACCAATCAAAATATATCAAATTATGTCAAAAGGTATTTGCGCAGTTGACATGGTTTGATATAATTGATATAGGTACAGGGTAAGGTGTATGTATCTTGGGTACAGGGTTGCCAACCGTACTAGACTTATAGTATTTCTTAGAGGTGGGCTGTTCGATACAGAAGCCGTATCGATACGATATCGATATAATTTTCAAAATATCGCTTATATCGATACAATTTCGATACGATACGGTTAGATTTAAAAAAAATGGCAGAAAAAATAAAAACTTTTATTAAATGAATTTAATTATTAGGAAGGTAACGAAAAAAATATAGGTATATGAAAATTTGCAATTTGTTTCGCAATTGTTTACAATGTAAACTATAAATAACTTGAAATAACTTAAACCCACCAAACCATAGAAAAAGGACATTCCACACAACATTTGTTGTGTGGATTGCACCCCTTCGGGGTTTTCTATGATAGAAAACCCCGAATTGTGGATTGTGAGAAAAAGTACCAAAACAAAGTCAAAACTAGTTTTGTGATAGCCACTTAAAAGTCAGCTGCAATACCAACTGTCAGCCTTGATGGAACAAACTTCCAAAATTTCGGTTATTAAAAATACGGTATAACCGCAAAATCAAATTTTCATATATGGCCATGCCGGCATTTTAAGGACTTTTTTAATTAGCTAAATAATCGATAAAATGTATTCTATACATAAATTTATATCGATTCTAACGATATCCCGTTCGTATCACTTGTATCGATACGTATCGTATCGAACAGCCCACCTCTAGTATTTCTACTATAATTTTATGTCGGTGTACTATGTACTATAGCAAAGTATTATAGTACGTTAAAATACTAAAATTTTGAATAATAGTATTATTATTATAATAGGTACCCACTTCTTAAAAAAATCTATAATTTTTAAAAAGGAAAACTGTAGAATTTTTGAAAAAGCAAACTGCAACATTTGTATTTTCGCGCCCTCTTTTATGCAAAAGCAAAACTAGCCACATGAAATACCGTGGTGCGCATTAGCGCGGCGCGTGCATTTATTCTCTTATTTAACTGTTATATCCTTTTTCTATGATTTTAATCATAGAAAAAGATTTTTATAGGTTATACGTGTAAATACAGTGTGCACATTTTATGATAAAAGGTATGTACCTACAGACTACAGCCTAAATTATAGATTGCCTTCCTTCCTTCCTCCCGTAGTCGTGCCCGTACGATTTGTGCGTCTTGTAAAAAGTCAATTTATAGATTTCCGTGTAAAATTCCGTAACCATGCGCGATGACACCTAAAATGGTTGACATTTGTTTTTGTTTATATTCTCGTTTTACCCATTGTGTGTAAATATGAAAGATAATCATTTATATATTAGTGCAGTGATCACAATTTTAATTGCCCAGGCAGCTTGTTGTATACTGCCCAACTATGGAGAAAGGCAGTAACTGCTAAACAAGAAATTCGTGGGAAATTAGCATAAACTACATTTTTATAAAAAGCAGTAGGTATTTAAATGATTTATTTAACTTAAAAGTAGGTAGTTTACTGAATTTCTTTGTTGAATTAAGATACAAAATGTCCATAGCTTTATCATAGCACAAGAAAACGCATTTGTAGTTACTGCCTTTCTCCATAGTAGGGCAGTTTAATGAAAAAATAACATCGAACAAGACGTTGAAGACTCGCCCACTTTACAAAGACCGGGAAAGTTTCCCGGGGAAACTACGGGATTTTACAAAGCAACGTTTCTAAAAATGAAAGACATTGATCATAAACAATATCTAAATATCCTATTTAGAGAAACAAATTATTTAATAAACTGAACACCTACCTTAAATAATACTAAACAATCATGTATTTTAAATATTTTGTGTCTACGCGCTGTCACCCTACAGCGCATGTCCATTAGAAGCACTGTGATTGGTCATGTCAAAGACCTTTACGGTGAAAGATAAAACTTAAAAATTTCTACGGGAGGAAGGAATGCCGTCCTAACGGTACGGGAATCTATAACTGACACTACGATTTAAATAAACATTTTTGACGTAATTGTCACCATTAACATTGCCCGTTATTAATTTTAATTAAACTTAACAATTATTGATACTTTAAAATATTAAAATAACTTCAAAATATGATTTTGTTAAGAAAATATTTTATTTTTTGATTTTTTTATTACTATAATTGCAAAATATTATCACAAAGTATTAAAAATTCCTACACGGGAAATGTTAATGGTGACAATTACGTAATGTTCATCTTCTACGGGAGGAAGGAAGGAAGGAAGGAAGTCAATCTATAATTCAGGCTTACATTTGCAATTGCATACAAAGTTTGTAAACTTATCAGTTATTGTCGCAAAAACGTTTTGTGAAAATAGATAATATGTCTTTATTAAAATTCTAATCAATTTTTTAATTATTCATTCTTTTATTGTTGATTATGAATATGAGGAACGTATGGCTGGCCCCATTGGCAACGCCTTACACTAATTTCCCAGTTCTCTTACGTATCCCGCCACTGCACATCATTGCCTGTGTTTGGTGGATCCGAATTTTCACCCCGGCTGGTAAATCTTGCCTAGGTACAATTCGAAGTCATCCCCAACCAGGGATTTAGAAATTAGTCCATTTAATTGGGGTTCATGAACGGGGCTTGGTTGGTTAGTACGCTCCTAGGTCTCATCCTTGCTGGTCTTGAAGTACTTCCTGTTCGTATATGTCCGTGTCTCTGTCCGAGTCGGATTCCGAGC